AAAGAATCAGATTTAAAAAGTTTGCGATAAATTTGATGTGCACAAGAGCAAAACATTGCTGCTTATAAAGCTTCTTTTTTGTATAAAAATTTTAGCAATAAAACCAAATATAGAAAAATAACTGATAAAGTTTTTATCTTTTGATATACAATATTTTTACTAAAAGTGTTTTTATTTTGATACAAAGAATAAAATAAATTTGGTAAGCTTTCTTATCTAATGAAGATCTTTTCAAAAAAATAATCCAATCAACCAAAAAACATTTGCTATTGTTTAATCTACAATACATATTATGTTTTACTACTTGATTTTAATCAATAAAATAAAATAAATTATTTATTAAAATTATTCAGTCTTAGTTTTAATAATAGTTTCAATAGCCTTATTTAAATATTTTTCTAATCCATACTGCTTAATATTATCAGGCTTACAATTATTATAAATAGAATATCTTTTTTGCTTAGAAATCAAAGAATAAATTTTTACATCTTTATACTTAATCATATATTTTTTAGGATGATTGATTAAAAAAAAATTTTGGTTAAGAAAAGGATTTTTTTTTCCTTATTCTATCTAATTCGTTAGTCTCTTTGCAAACAATATCATGAGATACCTTACTTAAATCAACGACTGGATTGCTATCAAGAAAAAATAAACAGGCTTAATTATCTTTATCTTGTAACTTTTTAACTTGGTTCTCCGGTCTCAGTCTCCAATTCCAAATTCGGTCTTCCTGTAGCACCGTTGAAGATCATACTACCTCCCTACTCGGGACTTGCCAAACAGGTTTTTAGTAATTCCAGTTTCCTGGATTTATTGCGCCGAAGCTCCCATTTGAGATGGTGTGACCAAGATTACAGATATTTAAATCCAACTGATAATCTTAACATTAACCGATACAGATCTAGTATTTTCAAAATCGTCGTCCGTGGGATTCGAACTCTAGACCTGCCGCTTGGGGGTGCAGCAACCCCACCACTTCACTAGGTCGCTGCACCCTCCTGAATAATATTCTTTGAAACTTGTCTCTTTTAACATTGTGATAAAAAATATTTTTTGAAATATTTAATATGAATTGCTGTTCTGCCCCATAATAATAACAAAAAATTTCAAGCAATACTAATTGATTTTTTGGAACAAGGTATTTCTTGATTTTATATTTCTTATTCATTAAATCTGTATCATCCAAATTAAAATATATTTTCTTCGTAATTTGTTTATATTTGAATTTACAAAATAAAGAAAGTATTTGATAATTCTTGATTAGATCGATATATTTACAATAAATAAGTTGCCATTCGATATTAGTTTCTTAAATGGTGATATCATCACAGTATTGCTTGATATTCTTAAAGAAAAAATTGCAAGTCCAGGTAAATTTCTTTATATCGCCCAAATATCTAAATTCAATATCGTTAAAGATTATCAGAATGATTTCAAGTAGCAATTCTAATAAATTCATACTTAAATAGCAATGACTATTTAAACAGTACGTGATTTGGTTATAAATAATTTTCTTGATCATAAAAATCAATATTCAATCCTTCTATCGAATACTGAAAATAAAAAGAACTTCCTCTCTAAATGATATCAAAAAATTATATAAGAAGCTTGCTTTTAAATACCATCCTGCCAAGAATTGTAAAGATCCCGTATATGCTTATGAGAAATTCTGTAAGCTTATAGAGGCCTACATCTATCTTCTGAATCATCATGTTCAGCGAAAACTACCTAAACCTAAAAGCAAAACTAAAAGAAACACCAAAAGAGGAAATAGAAATACAAAAAGAAACACAAAAGAAAATACAAAAGGAAATACCCAAAAAGGAAACAAGAAAAAAAATATTGATCCAAATAAAGCCACCAATGAGTTCTTAAAAAAATTATATAAGATTGTTAATGAATTTGTAAATCATATAGCAAAATAGTCTCTTTTTACTGTATTGGTCGTAAATAATTAGTGTTCGCTTATCATAAGTAATTCTGAAGCACTTATAGAATTTATATTTAAATCAAAAGAAACAAACAACTCAAATTAACAACATGACAAATGCACGATGTCCAAAGACAATATCTCTTTTATTAACCAAAATAAACTCGTATATCCATATACAAAAAAATGAAAAACATGAAAACCAGTTACAAAAAACTCTATAAGAATCTCCTTGAAGAGAAAACAAAAATCAAAGAGGAAAATAGAAAACTCGAGAGCGAAAAGAAGAACTTGGAGGAGCTCTTTTTCAATGCGTCTCAATATTTTGAAAAAGCTTGGTGAAGCTTTCTCAGAGACAACTATCAAAAAGAGAACTATAGTAGTGATGATGATAATTCTCTTAATAATGTAAAAGAGAAAAATAACAGCATCATCGAAGCTAATAGTTTAGATGATTTTATCAATTCATTTATGAATGAATATAATATTTACTTGCAGGATAAAGTGTGTAATAACTTTATTTACCACAACAAAACATGTTTATAATAATTTTAATATCATGTAAAATTTTATATTCATCCTTTTCAACATATAAATATTTTCAATGTATATTTATTTTAAATAAAAATTATTTTTACAATTTAAAGCAATATATTTATGGCCCAACTTTTGGGGATTGTTTGGGTCTTTTATCATCATTACTTTTATTCTTGATTTGATGAGGATAGCCAGCAACTGTATCAGGAAGCCTTGATGGTAATCCTGATCTACTCAGATAGTAATGATTGATCTATTGACCAAACAACATGCCTAGATATCTTAATGTCTTTGTTTGATACATTATAAACTCATCATCTTGAAACCAATTTTCAATATATCTTAGCCAATAATTGTAAATTTGTTTAGCATTATCAATAGTATTGACTCTAATAAAATCATTATGCATATTGATAAATGTTTGCTTCACTCATTTAATCTATTTACCACAATATCCATATTATTAATAGGAATGATATTATAGATTTCTCTTACATCCTCCATATACTCATACTTAATGTATACATTTTTTAAAATCTGTTTAAATATCTTTTTGTAATACAACATCTGCCTATACACATGTATTATGTGCTAATAGTCTCCAAGTTACCTGAAAATCATAACTTTTCAGATTATTAATAACTAATAACCAAAAAGCATTGTCTTTCAAATTGGTCACTTCCTTTTTCTCTTTCATATTATCTACAAGTCTCAACTACTCAGTATAGCTATTTTTCTGATCCAAATCCATGTTATTAGGTGTTGGCCTGTTAACGATAACTCCTTTTATCTTTCTAATAGTATCAAACTGCGGTAACTTAACAACAATATTAACTGGTGTATCAGGTGTTACCGGTAATGCTTCTGGTTTCTCAGGTATTATTATTTTGAAATCTAGGATTTTTTTTAACAAGAATATAATTCTGATCCATAATATATTAGCATCAATGACAGGTTTATTAGCAATAACAATCTCTTTGGAATTACAGTTAGTGAACTTTCCGAGATTAAAACTGCATTCACATGTGTCGATTACACGAAACAGGATTAAACTTAGAAATAAAAAAAGAAATATTATTTATCTGAATAATTTATTTTCTCTTGTGTATTTATAATTATTTTTCTTGTAAGAAGCAACTACTTCAAAGAAATTACAATAATCACATTTATAAAACAAAATAGTATTTCTTTTGATTTTAACAATTTTATTTTGTTTCGATTACAATTACAACTTCTTGAGTAAAACATTTTGTAGTTTTGCCAAAAATAAAAAAATTTAAAACATCTCGAGTAAATAAAAAAATCACACACATTTTCACAAACACCTCTTCTGTTATTCTTAACCATGAGGTTCATAATGATGATTTTCTAAAATTCCAATATCTCTTCTTGTTTATCAGTAAAAAATTTAACCATCTCATATACAAAAGAGAGATGTAAATCGATTTTATCATTTTTTCTATCTCTGTAGAAATTCATCTGACTTCTTATACTTTATAAAAGTTTTAGAGACAATTTTTCAATCGACTCTATTTCCTTCACTCTGATAAATTCAAAAAAAAGCTCTTTCAGCTTCTCCTCAGCGCAATACTTAATTCTTCTTGACAAGAATCTTAGCTGGTCAATGATTCATTTGGGATGTTCTTTTGTTTGAATGCTGTATCCATGCCTGTCAGTAATTCTCTTGAACACTTTCTCGCAGTAATATTCAAAGATTATGAGTATTATTTCAAGAGAAAGTATCGATAACGCAAAAAGCATCTAAATTTCGTATAAACAACAAATTTATACAAAAATCATAACTAAATTTAGCAAGACCCAATCATTATACTGCTTACAAATTTGTTTTCATTCAAATGCCAAAAGTGGTTTACCAATTAAGAAATTCAACATTACCTCTTTTGGACACAACACTAATTTCTAAACTGAAAATCATTGGTAAAAACAAAAACTTAGAAAAAAATCATCAACTTGATTTTGAAGCTATAAAAAGGCTCTGAGATTCTTCAGGTAGGCACTTCATCAAATCATCAGATTTGATACCCAAGAGTGTGTAGCTCTCAATAAAGAAATAATAAGAATTATTTTTTTACAAAATAATCAAAATTATTTCTTTAAAATTCAATGAGACATTGTGACCTATTTCTTGAAATATGCCAAGCACAACCAAAAAGCATTTTATGAATCCTTCGTTACTCTTAATTCTATACATTGGTCTGATATTGATTTTAGTCATTCCTATGTTATCAAGTATCTTAAACAAGACTCCAAGGAACAGTTTAATCTTCTTTGACATAGCGAGTAGATTCCTTTTCTTACATTTTTTGATTGTGAATATGGCTCTAAGCTTTATCATCCTAACAATTTTAAGTATTTTTTTCATCTTTATCTTTGGCACTATGATGATTAGCATACTGACTTTTTCATCACCGGTGAGCATAGCGGGCTTTTATTGTAATTAGCTAATTTTTGTAGATCATCTCGTGATATAGCAAAAATTTTATTAGTTAATCGAAATTAATCAAAATTCTTCATCATGAATAAAAACTCATATATACATATAAATAACTATATTTGTAATGAAATTAATACCAATATAGGTCTTTACCATGAAATCTCGATAGCCTTAAATCTAAATCTAAAATCTTATTACAGATAAAATTCTGATGAGCCAAAATTTTATTAAAGAAATAACCCTAACATACTACGAATCAAAAAAAAAAAAAAAAAGCTCCAAAAAATAAACCAAAAACAAAAAAAATATACATAGAAAATAAATATTTAAACCTATTATGAGATATTATTGGCTAATATAAAAAAAAATTCAGTAAGTATTCTCTCTAATATCAAACTAATTAATCTTATTTAATAATCATTATATGGCTACAGTACCCATTACTTCTGCTTTAACTATTATCAAGATGTCTATAAACCTTATCTGTTATAACTCTTAACTTCATATTATTGGTTTATATTATAGTTAGGTTTTTATATTAGTTTGAATTATGAAAAATAAGTTTTCAAAAATAAAAAGACAACTTAAATTGCTGAGTTTTATTAACTTATAGTACCTATATGCAAAACTTAAACATTCAAACATACCTCTCATCTAACTTCTGAATTACTTTGTGAATTGCCAAATTACTTTGTCAGTATATAAAACAAAACCTCTACTTTTAAATTCTTTTGGTCTTAACTCTTACTAACTCATCATCATGCTTACTAATCCATTTTTGTGCTTGCAAAATGTTACACGATATATTTTTCATATTGTGTAACATTTTGGTTAATCATCCAATCCGAATGCTGGAATGAAAGCCCACTATGTTGCATATACCTGCATCTAATTAAATGCTAAACCTAACCCTATGTGACACCAATTATTGTACTACAATGTTTATCACTTGCATTACAATTACCTATCAATAAATATATAAATCAACCCACTTTTTAATTCTATTAAAAATCCTGTTTTACAAAATTGCTATTACATAAAATTGCAAATTTGTATAATCTAAATATTCAATATATATACATTATTTAATAAAAATAAAAATTGGCAAGTCAAAAATCTAGATTTATACCTATCCAAGTGCTTGTTATTCACTTTTTCAGGTTCTTGATCCTTTTTATTATCATTCAATTCAACCTTTTTAATATTGTCCAATTTAGGTGCTTGTTCCTTTTTTATGAAATTGTCTAATTTAGGCAGTTCCTTTTTCGTATTGACACATCTTCAATATTCTCTAAGCATTTCAATTTCTTCTTTTATCTTTTTTTGTTGTTGAGCTTTAAGTTTCTTTAAATAAGAATTATATGGATGATAGCATCTTGGTAGTATTTTAATAATAAAAAAATGTAATTTATTAAGGTATTAAGTGTTATTAGGCATGAATTATGATGTGAATTATTGAAGAATTAAGCATTATTATATAGAAAAAATATCATGTAATAAATTGATATATAATTCAATGTAAAGTTATTTTTTATTTGATATATTTTTAATTAATTATAAATATAGTACAAATAAATAAATATATTCATGTTAATTATTTGAATATCAATCTATAAACTCTCTTTATTTTTGAAGAAGAAATAACAAACAAAAAACCTATTATAGCATAATTTTGACACATTAAAATTATACAGAAAAAAATTAATATATAAAACTCAAACAAAAGCCAATTACTCAAATTGTATAGTTGAATTTGAACAAAAGCTAATTACTTGAATCATATAGTTGAATTTGAACAAAAGTCAATTACTCAAATTGTATAATTGAATTTGAACAAAAGCCAATTATTCAAAAAATGTTTTAGTTGAATTTTTAATATAGAATTTATACCTCAATTAAAAGAGAAAAAAATATTACTAAAATCTTGAACAAAAGCCAATTGTTCAAAAATGTATTAATTGAATTTTTAACATCAAATTCATACTTCAATTAAAAAGAAAAAAAAAACTTTTTTAAAACCTTAAACAAAAGGCAATTGTTCAAAAATATATTAGTTAAATTTTTAATGTCAAATTCATACCTCAATTAAAAAAAATAAAAAAATCTTTAAAACCTTAAACAAAAGCCAATTGTTCAAAAATGTATTAGTTGAATTTTTAATGTCGAATTCATACTTCAATTAAAAAGAAAAAAAAACTTTCCTAAAACTTTAAACAAAAGCCAATTGTTCAAAAACATATTAGTTAAATTTTTAATATCGAATTCATGTATTTTAAAAATTATTTATGCAAATTATTGTGCTTAAATGAACATTCAATGATAAGCAAAAATGTGATCAATTTACCAACCTTTTAGCTAAACAAAATTATTAGTCAAATTTAGTTATTGTCTCTTTTATCATTTCTATTAGTTGATTTGTTTATTGTTCTTGATGGTTTAGCTATTGATTATTATAGTTGCTAGTTTAAATATTAATTGAAAGACAATAGTTATTCTCTTATCTTACCTGTAAAGTGATGGTTTATCTAAATGAGCTTTGTTAAAAAATTAATAAAAGCATGCTATTTTTTAAGAATTGTAAGATCACAAAATTAATAAATAGATTTTTTTTTTTGTTATTAAATATGCCAAAATTATCAAAGCAAAAACACCATATAGCATATATGTGCTCTTATCAAGATAAAGTCCAACAAATTCATAAAATTATACTTCAAATTGATTCTGATCTTATTCCGCAAATATATAAAACCCTTATTAATATAGTAAAATGTACAAAAAATAAAGAAATTTTTAATCAATTTGTAAAATGACTAAATCACAAAAAACAAATGCATTAAAGCTCTTCACCTTAATACAGAATCAAAAAGGAAAACACACTTATAAAGTTATTTCATCTTATATGCAAAAACAAGCACTCGACTTTATTACAGATTCTTAAAAGGGTCAAGTTAAAAAATTAAAAGTTGAGAATACTAAATTAAAGTTATCAAATAAGAGATTATTAAAAAATAATCAAAATCTAATATGCAAAACTTAATCTTTAAATAGATTACTCATATTTGTTATTTGCATAAGTTTGATAAAATCTTGTTAGACTATATAATTTGTATAGTAATTGTCAAACAATAAATTATAATAATTTCTTACTTTACTATATATTTCAAATCAGCATCTTCGAGACAAAGTAAAAAATTAAATTTTAACTATTCGATCATTGGTACAAAAATCAAACAAATACCTCTAAATGAATTCAAGCACCAAATCAATATTTTATTCAAAAAAAATAATTAGGAATACTCATCTAAGATGGTTTGGCTTTTTATCAAAATTTTGCAAATTGGGCAAACCTCTCTTACTGCAACTGTTAAATCATTATGACTAGTTTATGAATTCTTAATCGGAGAACCTCCACAAAAATGGTTATCTATAATGACCCTAAGTATCTGGCATAAAGTAGTCTTACAAATTGAGACTGAAGTAGGAATATATAAGGTGCATAATGTTCACAATATGGAATCCTTGTGAATGAATCAACTTATAAAGAAAGTAAATATTTTGTTGTATATATTATGTTCTGGAATCATAAAAAAAACATATTATCAGTTATTGTGACCAATCTTGAGGATTTACATAGCTGTACTGGTCAATCAGTAGCAGACAGTAATCTTAAAGCAATTATAATTCACGGGCTTGATCCAAAAAAATATTTAACATAGGTAACAGATAATATAGTCTATATATTAGGCAATAAAAAAGATACAATTGTTCAATTTAATAAGAAGGCAAATGTAGATACAATAAGAATAGGTTGTGGAATGCATGTAATATATATTGTTTTTTCAAATTTTGAAAAAGCATTTGGCAAGTTATCTTCCTCAATCAGATTTTTATAAACACCACAACTATATAACCTTTTATATTTGGCTTAGTATCTTCACGATAGATATAATTCTAGTAGTAAAAGAAAACCTCTAAATATGAAGTCAGATTAGATTCAAAAACTTTATGATAGATTATTAGGATTTCATTTTTCCCAATACCAATTGCCAATTCAGGGTTGTTGGGGATATAAATTGCTACAAAGCAATATTTAGCCCAATGTGAAGCATATATAGAATTTTCAAATTGGTTTATTAAAAAACTTGAAAATAATCAGAATACACCACATAAATATCTTTCAGATTGGTAAATTTTAATTA